AATATTGAAACCTTTATGCAATATTAACTACATGTACTCTATGTTTTACAAGGTGCTTGATAATAAGGCTGTGAATATGTTATGATTAAGACATCAGGTGAACATGTCATTTTAATTACGATACTTTTAACCATCATCCATTCATATTTTGAGTAATTTTGTTGCTGTTAAGTTGTGGAAGGGTTTTGATTGAATGATCAATTGTATTTGATGATTTAAAATTGGATATAGAGCTGAGGCTTGCTTCTGACAAATATGATTAAAAAACATAAAGGATGACACAATAAAATTATTTGAGCTGCAAGCAGCGTTGGGCAGGACCTCGCCATCAACCTACGTCGGGGCCTGCACGGTGGTCGCCCACCGCAGCCACACCATGCCACATCACGCCACGCCCAAACCCTTATCGCTGGAATATTATCACATAGACGTGTTCAGTGCGGGACTCTTATTAAACATGTGAAGTTTTGTTGAGATAGGACCATGTACACATGTGTTTACAAGCATCTTCTAACCAATTAAAGCTGATCTAATCAACCTGTAATAGGAACATCTTCCTGTTGCCAGTAGGGGGCGCTATGAACGTAAATTAATGTTGACATTTTCAGTACAAAACTAATCACACACTAAACCAGATTATATTTTTATTTCCCTGTTTGTTTTTTTCTGATATTAATAAAAACAGACTTGCTGTGAAAAATGCTGCACAATGTTGTTTTCCTTTAGTCTATTTAAAGAGGACAATTTTATTTTATTTTTTTAATTTGTAGATCCTTTGGCTGTCCTAATATAGTGCATGCATGGTTGCCATGGCAACACAAATCTATGTTCTTGGGTTCAGTGTAGTTCACAGTCTTTGTTCTATTTGTTAATGTGCAGTTCATTTGTTTTATACATCAGCAGTTATTAAGCGTGATTACTGATTGTCTATAGACTATTGATTAGTCTCCTTAAGATCCCGTTTATTTTTGAATTTCTGCCTTCCCGCCCTTTAACAGTGTCAGACACGCGAGATCTGCGCAAGCGCCAATTCCAATTAACCCGGGCTCCTGGATCCGGTCATTACCGGATTTACAGGCAAGAAGTTAAGTCGCATCTGCACGTTGTTGTGTTGTTCTCACTGTATGTTTCTATGTTAATGCTGTGGATGTTATTTGTAGGTGATTTATTTTGTACTTTGTTCTGTTTTTCTACAGGAATGGCGAATAATAATATAAACTCCCCGACCCTCTGCACGCTGCACGACCCGGAGGTGGAGGCCATAAGGCTGGACCTCCATCTTGCGGCGGTAAGTATGAAACGTGGTTCTGTATTATTAGCATTGCTCCTGACTTTGGTTAAACATGGCAACGTTCAGCATTAATGGGACGGATTTAAAGTAATGAAAGGTTTAATTATTAATCCGTCAATTAGACCAATATCCTGCAGACTGCAGCTTCAACTTATCCTATCCCGTTGTGTAAACGAACACATTTATTTAAAACACTGCTGTTTAATTCAACTGAAGGAAATACTCTCTGGTGTAGATGCTCTGGTTCGATTATTATATTTTTAAGTTTGATGAAGAGAGATAATGTAGAGCGAGGGAGACTGCTGGGTGAGCTACATAGACTCTCAACGAGAGAGAGAGAGAGAGAGCGGCGCACTGCTGTTATATATGCTTACATCAATCATTATTATGCCTGATATGTACATTGGTTGTTTTGTATTTACAGTGTGCAATACTGGACCCGGAGATCCAAAGACCCGCTGTATATCGGCGGGTCCTACAGGCCCAGGCCAGGGCCATGAGGGCCCTCATCCAGCAGTCCCTCCTGCTGAGCGCTGTCCAGCAGGAGGAGGACCTGCTCAGGGGACAGCTGGAGGAGGTCCTCCAGCAGCTGGAGGAGCTGCAGGAGGCCGCCGCACTTCGCCTTGGTAAGTGTTGGTGTTTTTTTGCTGTTTTCATGCTACAGATAATGTGTGTTTCTGTAGTAATAGATGAGGATTTAACATCCACCTGACCATAATTCAGCTTGTTGAGTGAGTGAATGTGGAGGGTGTGAATGTATTTGTGTTCTGTATTGGTTGGATTGAAGATCTTTTTTCATCTGTGTCCATGTGTGCAGCCGCAAAGGAGAAGGCCAAAGGAGGAGCAGGAGGAGGAGCAGCAGGAGGAGCAGGAGGAGCAGGAGGAGGAGGAGCAGGCTCCAACTAATTAAAAAATTAAATAAATGTTTTTTTTTAAATTTGAAATAGTTTGTGTTGTTATTAAGCATTTAAAAGATTTGTAAAATAAGAGGTTAATCTCTTGTCAATGTTAGCGTCATATGTCCAGAAATGTGTTTTGCTGTTTTACATTCAGGGTTAGAGTTTTTCATACAGTGTTGTGTTGTTCACAACACATTACGTAGGTTTGTAGCAGACAGTGAAAATACACAGATAGT